TCACTAGTACTAGACAACTCCAGCTCCTCGGCGACAGATGAACGATCTCTAGGAATGCGATAAGTACCCGGTAGTACACGACTTCTAAAGGGGGAAGTTTCTAAAAGCTCTCACAGAGCTTTCTACGGCACAGAGCACAGATTCACCTTGTACTGCTCATTGTCCTCATTATGTCCCTTTTTACTGCATCGATATGTGACGAGCTTCGAACGATCTCTCGACGGCGATCATCTCTTAGTTCATATCTGCGGTAAAATGATTTAGACCACACAGAAAAAATTCAGAACAAAGTCACAATTTATCGATGCAATAAGCCATGCATTTTTTGAACGTTATCTCACCTTAGACTACTGATGTCCTGTTTGATTTCGAGCAAATCATCCTCGTTCACTCCATCCATCTTCATATCTTTCTTTGTTTGGTGGATAAACCTGAAACGATAGGAAGAGTTTTAGCTTTGCTCACCAATTTCTAAAAGTTTCTAGCTGCAAAAGTTTTAGATGTTAAATCTTATAATCTAGAAATGAAGAACTATCATTCTTTGCTAGAAAAAAAACAAAATGCCAACATCAATATATTCTGAAATTATCCCCGTGTTTTCTTCACCAAAAATAAATAGTTGCGCGGACAACTGTTACGGACAACTGTTACGGATTGCTAGGTGATGCAAGGTTTGGGCAGATGTCAGGGCTGTCGGTGATTATCAACACATGTACTACATACCTTTCTGACTGTGTTTTACTCTAACTAGTTCAAATTTATGTGTTATTTGCTTTCTTATCTTTCAGTCTTTCAGTTTCTCGGACAATAGATTGATTCACTTTTGTCATCCGACTTTCACTATGCAATCTTTAAACTTACCTTGAGACAAGCCTTTGGATTATATCCGCATACGTTAATGGCTTCTTACTTGCCTCGTCAGGATTATCTTTCATCTTACGTGAGTAACCGGGCCGCTGAAAGCAAGGGTATAATTGGAACGAAGACCTTCTTAAAAAAATTTGAAATCTTACTCTAATAGTTGCTCGACTTGTACTTTTTGCATAAGTGTACTTCCCAACTAAGCATCGAAAGGTGTTAACGATACCGAAGAAGAAGTAGACCACCGCCTGGAATATTTTTCTAATGAGCAGAATTTCCGGACGGGCATTAGTTACCTTAGGTGTGATAACAATATTGAAAGGAGGCGGAAGGCTAGACCCTTCGTCGAAATGAGCCATCCACAATTTCGTTCTGTGGAATTTCCACTCCAAATCAGCATGATCCTAAATGCGTAACGGATATTCATATCCTACAAACTATGCAGAAAAACTAACATTAATAGTCTGGAATGAATGGCTCATCATGGCGATCAGCATGTTTAGAAGCACGATAATTGATGTACAATGGTACAAGATGAACATTGCACGTCCAACAGATTGGGTTAGGTGGTGATTCTGAACCAACTCATTTAGTTAATTATTTACCATAAATGCTAGCGATTTCACCTCGGCAACGTCTGTGTCTTCTACCTTTGTGATGGAAAATAACGACCATAACAACGTTAGATAAGAGTCCGCGATTCTAAAAAGGGTTTTCAGATACAAAAGAAAATTATATTCTATCATGTTGGTCCTGAGAAGTGCTCAAAGTTTCAAAAA